GATACACTGAAAGACAGTTCCGAAAGTGAAACAAGGGATTTGGAGTTGAGATGTTTTCAAAAATAAATTCATTTGAGTATTATTCTGGCTTGCTTCTCCCAAATCTCATTCATAAATTAAGAGATGAGTTACTGTACTTCTCAAACATACTACTCTCTTAGAGTGAAGAGATAGCAAAAGGAATAGACAAAGCTGAGAGATTAGGGGCCTTGATAGAAAACAAAACCCTTTTGGACCGCTCTCCGAGTATGGACACCCCTTTCGAGTTTTAATTAGGTGAAAAAAAGAAAAAGAGTAGCTCTCATTCCTCTCGGAATGGAGATGACAAAAACCCCCCACCCCACCACGTGAAGCCCAGTGAAGGATGCCTTGAGCTACAGTCACCTTTTCAACAGGAAGTGGAGATGAACCTACAAATCAATACAGCCATTGAGAGAAAGGTGGTGGATAGTATCTCTTTTATAATCTTTTGTGTGAGTGAAAGATAGTGAGAGGAGCTAAAGAAAAAGGCCAAGAGCTACTCTGGTCCAAAACAATATCGCTAAAGGAAGCATAAAGTATATTGCCCTTTATGCAAATTAACTCGAGGGATCAGCTAGCTCTGGAGGGATTTATGGGAATTGTTCGAAGGACACAAGATGATCATGCATATTAAAAAACTAGGAAGATGACAAACGAGGTTTAACAAAAAAACAAATGACTCATGATGTCTAACGTTGTGCTAATTCTATCTTAATGCATATGACAAAATTATCCATTATTCTTTTGTCACGGATCCATTGTTAATTTCATGTTAACTTTAGGATATATTTATGCAGAAGGTCTTGGATTGGTTTTAATTTTTGGCTAATGTTCTTGTGACTAGTTCTAATAGTGACTCTGAAAAGGTTTTTTACATGTGGGAAAGAAGGCCATGATCTTTCTGATTGTATTCAGAATTGAACTTTCTGTATGTAGGCCAATGTGCTGGTTGGGGGACTCCATCAGAAAATGTCTGTTACCCTCATCAAATCAATTTCACAGTATAATCTGGCCTGCACATGCCCAAAATTCTATTTTCAGGAACCCAAGTTACTATTTAGGGTTATTTGGTGTTATGATAGTTTTTATTTTTTAAATTATTTTTTATCTTAAAAAGTATCATAAAAAAGTTTTTTAATGATTTTGATATATTAATATCAAAATATTAATAAAAACAGAAAAAAATATTATTTTAATATATTTTTATTTTCAAGATATTTTTATAAAACATCATACATCTTATTACTAACTATATCATATCATAGGATTAATATTAATCCGTAAATCTATATTTGCATTAATATATTTATGCTTCTACTTCTCAGTTTTATGTGTCTTTTAAGTTTTTTAGAAATCAAAAGGATCATAGGATGATCATGCCTAGTGATGTTCATTTTTATTTTATTTTTTGTTGGTTGTAAGATGGGTATAATTTATTGTTGGACATAGTAGGGCTGGTGTGTGCCTAGCTAGCATGAGCCCCGGAAGCAATGGTGTTTTTGTTGATCAAAGCACTATTGCAATGTTAGGTGCAAATGGGATTTGTGTGCAAAAGCAAAGAGTGTTATCTTTAGACAGAACTTGGAGTAGAAAAGAAGTGAGATTCAAGACACAAACAAGCATAGCTACAATATACCTTGGCTTTGAAGAGAAAGATACATGCATCAATTTTTTTTCATGTTCATCTACATTAGAGATTAGAGACAAAATGACCAAAATAATTAATGAGAGTAAAGATTGCTTGATGGGGATACATAGATTTGGTGCCCCAATACCTGTTACATGTTCACCATCATTTCAACTATGTCATATTGAAGTGAAATGCAATTAGGAATTGAAAATTAATCTCTCAAGATTTTCAACAATTAAACAGGGCAATATCTTAGAGACAATCTCATTGATTAAGGAGGATACAATATATAAAGCATTCCTTAAACTTCTTGGTTGCATATAAACTACGGTGATGTTTGAGTGTTGAGATAAGTGTTTAATATTTGATTTTGCAATATAAAAAAAATTTAAATGATTTTTTAAAAAAAATATTAAAATAATTATTTTTTTATTTTTGACATTATTATATTAAAACCATAAAAAAAATATATAAATTTAATTTTTTTTCAAGAAAAATATAGTTTTTAAAAGCACCTGAAAATAAAAACAAATATACTTTTTTAAGTAGATGCTTAAGCTCAATATTAAGATTTGAAAATCTATGAGTTTGGACGTTTGATATGACATACTAAATTAAAGTGTGAAAATGACCTTCCCAAAAAAATAATATAGGCCTAATCTATTCTTTGGACCCCTTATCTTTGACTAAAAAATGTTTAAGCTTACAATGGGGGCGGAGCCACCACCTTAAAAAGTCCAGTGTTTATATTATATGGTATATCACCTAACCAGTCATTCATGCCACAGTCATTGAATAAGAACAACAGTTCTTCTTCTTTTTTCTCTTTTTAAGTGTAAGAACGTGTAGAAAAGTCAATTTCAAAGCAAAGCAAAGCAAAAGGAACGCACAATGTGTTCTGTTCCAGCAAATCACCAACTAAAACAAGTTCTCATGAACAAATTGTGCCTTGCCAAAGAGGATAGGTTTCAGTTCTTCAGCTCTATGCTTCCTTGTTTTCATACACAAATCAAGCATGGCTTCTAACTACGAAAAGCTTGAGGCTCATGTAAGTTCGTGGTCTGCAAATCTGTCTCGTGATGATGAACATTTTAGAGCTCCATCAGCTTTCACTATCTTTACTATGAATTATGAGAAAAATTGATGGAGTTGGAGTGGCTTGTTTCTTACAACTTACCCAGCAAGAAAATGATGTGTCCTGAAGGCATCGAGCATGGAAATGAATCTTGGCCTAAAGAATGATATGGTTATCATTAGGTTCTTATTTGAAGGAGACAGCTTACCAAAATGTTAATGGCTGAAAGGAGTTCCATAAGAGAGTCAATTAGAGCACGAGATTCTAATTAACACAGCAAGATCAAGTTTTAATTTGTTCGGAAGTCTTGTGTTCATTCTACAGTAGCTCACAAGTTGCATGACTTGGTTTAAGCGTGTGTGACTTGGTTTAATGCGGTGAAAAGTGGTTTTTTAAAAGTATTTTTTTATTAAAAAAAATTCTATTCTTTACATAGTATATCAAAACCATTAAAGAAAACATCTATAAAATACTGATTCAATGTTTTTCAAATAAAAAATAATTCAAAGAACATTTTAAATATATATTTGTTAAAAAAAAAAAAAAACATTGCCAGATGCATCACATAAAAAAACATGAAATATAAGACGTAGGACGCGGTGTACCTAGTAAACAAACAAACACGAATACGAGTGTCTAATTAAATCATCGAAGGAGTCCAATATGCATCTGCAAACAAGCAATTTTCAATGAGCAGGGAGTCGAAAAGAATCCAAGCTTCTATGTCGAATGCACTAAACTACAATCAACATGATGCTGCACGTCTTAATTGATCGAGGATGGTGAGGCAAATGTTCTTCAGTTGAGATCCAATCCAAAATCAAGGACAAACAGTGGACAAGCCGAGATCTTCTAGGAGTGGAATGAAATTGGACTCCACCTTGTATGGGAAGATCCATCTTGGTGGGCCATAGTTCACAGAAACAATGTGACTGGACCCCACCCATTAGAAAATTGTGAATCATGAATGGTAAAAAGTAAAAAAAGTAAGCACTTATCTTTTGTAGCAGTGGAAATCTTAGAAGCAACTCAAAAATGCAAACGGTCATGATGACTTTTCTTGAAGTCCCAAGAGGAAACCTGTGAATTCACAGTGATCAAAGCGATGGGTTCCTCAAGGAAATAGCTTTTAAGACAATTGAGGTAGGGTACAGCTGTGAAGTCACTAGGGGTCCGTGACAAACAAAGCTCCAAGCATTTATCATCCCAACGAGAGTGTGCACCAGTGAGGCGAAGGAATCTGCTAATCTGGCTGTGGCCTGCAAACTCCAGCCCATCTTAGTAAGGAAACCCTTAAATCCATAGCCATTTCAAAACCCAATCTCTGGCTTGAATTTGAAGCTAGGAAGGAAACTGGAAACCACGCTTCGGGACATAGGAACCAGGCAACAGTGCCTGCTTTTTGAGTTTTTGCATACCAGTTCTCGCTTCTCGCTTGCTAACTCGGCCTTGATGGGCTTGTTAAGCCAGGACTATTGTAGAAAACTCTCATTCACAAATATGATATGTTCGAGAAATGCTCGCATTATTTGTTGAGTTTCCCTCCCTGATGCCAAGCAGATTCCTCTTGCGTACTCCTTCAGAAGTTAATTTGTTTCTTCAGTTTCAAATCAGAAGGAAGATGATAGGGGATGAGGATAGCATTAGCTTCTAAGCACTGTTTTAAAACCTAACCTAACTTGGTAGGATATTCCATGACCTGGGACCTAAAAAAAGCTGGATTTCAACCAAAAAAATAAAGAGATTGACCTTCTTTTCTTTCTTTTTTTCAAAGGGCAGACGTCATAAATTTACTGCAGAAATGCTGTGCTCAGTCATGGAAACCACTAAGAAGCATCATTCCTTTACAAAATAAGACTGACACAAAATCATATCGAAGCTTTCATGAAGCTTTGAATCCGAAACATTAAAGGCTAAAAGCCAAGGCCTATAATTTACAGCTTGAAAAATATTCTTGCAACTTTTACTGGGACATGTAATAGGGCGGGTCTAAAATGCCTTCGTTTTGGGCTCATGCCTATATAGGCCACCGGATTTGCATGCAAAATCAGAAACGGTGGCGTTGGGTGCACAAGACAATCTGGCATTGTGCCCGGGACAAAATACAAGAACAGTAGCAACCCCTATAGTTTGACCCCAAGAATTTTTGTGCACTGTTGGTAAGAAAACCTGTAAGGCAAGGAATGGAATAAGCTTGGCAGGGAAAGCTAACCCGTTCTGCAAGTCCAAGTCCCAAATTCATAAGAATAGCTATCAGAAGAATAGCTATCAGTTGATGCTAATGAATAGGCCTGAGAGCTCAAAAAGGTTTGGAGTCATTTAAAAAGTAAGCAATGATGTTGAGACACGAGCAACAGGACAAGAAATTATGAACCTTTCAACATTCTCCAGCAAAATCATGGCAAATACCAGTCATACAACCACAAACATCCAACATCTCAAAGATAACGTGGACCTAGAAAGAACATCCCCTTCCACACTAAGCAACCATAAGCCATTGATCAGAATTGGTCCCAGATCAAATCTCCGATATGCGTCAGGCCCCAGCAGACTATGTCTGCCATACTTGGCATTCTTCTATTGCACCAGTCGATGCAAGCTGCCAACACATTGTATGACTAAGCACCAGCAACCACTGGCCACTCCTGTGTCAACAGGTCTATATAATCCTTGCAGAAGCCATTCCTCTACCACCACTGCTTTCTCTTTTCAACTCTTCCGCCATACCCAGTAACAAAGCATCCTTCAACCATGTTAGAAGGCAAAGCTGTTGTTGGCGAGACTGACATGCTTCAAACCATGCAGCAGGATGCACTTCACTTAGCTGCGAAGGCCCTTGATATCTTTGATGTTACCGAGTCCACTGATATTGCCCGCTTCATAAAGAAGGTAAGCTCCTGGAAAGTAACAAGATGATTATTTGGAATTAAATAATTGAAGAAAGCCAATTTTGGGGATTCTTGTTTTTGCAGGACTTTGACAGGGTGCATGGACCAGGATGGCAATGCATTGTGGGGATGGATTTTGGTTCCTTTGTGACCCATTACCATGGCTGCTTCATCCATTTCTGCATAGGAAACCTTGCAATCTTGCTTTTCAAAGGTTTGGGAAGAGAAGCTGTATCCAGCCCTGGAGATTGTTGATGCATAAGCTTTGTAGTATATTTAGCTTCCATATTTTCATATTTGCTGTGTCAGTAAGGGAAACAGCAGTAGAAGAACAAATACAAGTTTCATGCAGTCCATCTTTCTTCCTTTTAACCATCCACATCATCCAGTTGTATAAACTGTGTCCCAATCCCTGCACGCCGTGGTTTGTCTTGTTATTTAAACAAGATCCTGTGATGATAAAGAAATGCAATATCAACACAGCAAAGCTTCAAGAATGTAAACTCGAGAAAATTCAAATCACTCCTAAGTTGATGAAGAGCAAGAAAAATCTAACACCAGGTGCCCCTGTGAGCCCACCTAACAGGATCATTAATCTGGGTAGAAAAGGTTTTTACCAATATACATAACTATACCACGCAAGTAAAAGAATTGAGCAACAATTTCCAGGTAAATAGTTTCACTCAACCAGATACAGAAGTAAGACATGTAGCTCTTTCTGATCAAAGGGAAAAAAGGGTCATCAAATGGGACCTCCACGTTCTGACAGAAAGGAGGCATCGGTAGGTAACTGTGCCACTTACACACCATGTAGTTAAATCCTTGGCGTGTCACTCTGCACGTGTGCATGCCCTCTGTGTGTGTGTGTGTGTGAGAGAGAGAGAGAGAGAGAGAAGATTACCTGCATATTTTATAAACCTGAGAGAGTGAGTACACAAGGTGGAGCATCTCTTCTTGGCCCCGCAACGGAACGGTAAACATAAACTTTATCAGCCTGAGAGTCATCACTTCCATCCTCTTTCATTACTTCAACATTCAATCTGGGCATCTCCCTTGCCAATAACAGACAGCCATTCATTGTCACATTGCAGGCTGACATCCAAAGTGACCTCATTGACTCGTATTTCTCCAAACCTGAAAGAAGTGCTACATTTCCAAATGGGCAGTCCCTTATCTCAAGTTTCCTCAACTTTGGACAACCTTCTAGCACACATTGCATCCCCCTATCACTACTGCCCGCAAAAGCCACAGACAGAGTTTCCAGATTTTTGGCATACTGCCCAATATATTCAAATGTCAGGTCTGTCAAGAGACCTGAAACAGAAAGCCTCTGTAGTTTAGTGCAAGTCCTCACCACTGCCCCAAAAGCCTCGTCCATAGGTTCATTTGTCAAGTAATCCGGTTGGCCTGGATTCATTATGCAAAGGCGAAAGTGGGTGAAATCAGGGCAGTTCTGCACAATGGTTGCTACTGCAGCATTAGTCATCTGCCGGCAAAAGTAGAGAACATAGTGGAGTCTTCGACATCCATAAGTGACAGCAACAAACCCTGCTTCAGTCACCCCGTGGATAATTTCCTCATCAAAGGGATCAGCAGGGAAGACACGGAGCTCCTCAAGCAATGGACAGTTGGATCCAACAGCCTCCAGCCCTTTGTCCCCCACAGTGTCCAGGACCTGCATTAATGATGTGATTAAATATCCAAGCAGTTAATCTTAAGACTAAGATTTGATGTTTGGTGTGATTAACTGCACTTAACAGTTTAAGCCTTTTTTCTTAGTATGTGTTTTTGGGGGGCCTCTGGACTGCAGATGAAAGGGTGCTACAGTGGTTGATGATTTGAAATGTAGCACTCAGACCTTCAACCATTTAAGGATTCATCTCTCAGCACTAAAATCCTAGGTTGTATAAAACTCTTATTAAAGCACATGGTAAATATAAACTTAGTCAACTTTATGTATAAAACTCTTCAATATAACTAGTAACAGCACGCAGGAAAATACAAAATCAGAAATTTTACACCACATGAAAGCTTTGAAACAAAAGGAACATCAGATGAATCAACTCCAAGAGAATTAACTGCTAAAATACCAGAAATAAAACATGAGAGCTTGATAGTATCCATTGTGCAAAATGAGATAAACTATATCACAGAGGTGTTAATTAACTTGAGAAAGTATGTCACCTCTCAGGAGAGTTAAACATTTAAGTCATAAATCTTAGGCTCTATGCCACAAAACTTGGAAGCAAAGATGATTTACTAAATTATGCATGTAAAAATTAACAAATTGCTTCCAAGAAAGAAACTGATAGGAAAGATTGAAAACAAAGATTCATACCCAGAGGCGTCTAAGTCGTGGACATTGACGGAGAAGACTTGCAAGTTCAAGACTTTGCAGAAAAGTATAGCTCAGGTTTAAGAAAGTCAAGTTTGAACAGACAGGGTACAGAACTGGTAGATATAATGCTGTTGCCTCCCATAAACCCGAAAGGGTATTTAAATTCTTGCACTGGTTAAATGCACTTTCAAGCTCCGCATATTGACGAGTTGTAAGCTCTGGTGTGAATGAACCAGTACCAAGCTCTGTTAATTGTGGAGCACAAACTAGCAGCCTTTGTAGGTGTTCCAAGGAAATACTTTTGTTGACCTTCAGAACCTTCAGTGACTTGCACCTACTTACAAGTCTCTCAAGTGCATCGAAATTGACATCAGTATTCAGATTGGCAAAGTTTAGTACTTCCAATGATGTGAAGTTTTCAGGGAAGCAGCTTAACCAACCACCACTCTTGTCATCAATGCCATTCTCTTGTATGTCAAGCTGAGTCAGACTCCTGCATCAAGAAAAAATAAGTTTTCTTGTGCAAGTGAAAATAATATAACACATAAATGTCCACAAAGCACAACAGAGGTCATAAATCATGAAATTAAGGGCTATTAACCAGTAAAATAAATCATGAAATTAAGGGTTATTAACCAGTAAAAGAATGCTCAGAAACTTATAGAAAATGAAAGAAAGTAGCAGCTGCATGCAAAGCAATACACCTTTTTTTCCCATCATAGTTTTTACCCATGAGTACAAGAGAACGAGTTACATTTAAACTAAAATGAACACATTACAGAAAAATAATTGCAGATAGAACTGATAACCAACTAAGCAAATACATGAAACAACACAGAGAAACCAGATCAATGAAATAAATTATGAACATAAGCTACACAAAGAATACGTAACACATAATGTGTGAGTCTAATCAAGTCTTCACTGCAAACAAAGGTGCTATTGTAATAGGGAAATAGTTTTTAGGAATTTCAACCTTTGCTACGATCAGTATTACTAGATTTCTCCTTCTCACAAGTTAAAGCCACGTTTCCAGCAAAACAAAGGATCATCTCCACTGGACTCTTTTAATATGATTCTCATGAAGGAAATGGCATCCAGGAGAAACATCAATCAAATAACAAAGTGAATCACAGACTGCAAATAAGTATGGATCACTAGCACTGACAGTTCAATGAATGAAATCCGCACACTCCATACTTGCATAAAATCCAAAAATTCGTTTATGCCAATATTCTGGACACCAGCCTTTTTCATTTATTCCCATTCCTTTCTAATACACAAGGCATCTGAGCCCAAGTAGATATTGAATATCTCCCAAAGATGGGTGATGCATACTGCCACCCAGAAAACATTGCAGCATCTCGATGACCATAAAGCATTTTCCATGGTCATCGCTATCTAAACCAACAACCCAACAGAAAAGTGCATTTGCGCGGGCAGATGAAAAGTTGACAGCAATATTATGACACCAATAAAATGCACGTCTAACAGGTAAAATGTCACATCAATAAGAAAAAAACAGAGAAATTAAGCACAGAACAAAAGAAATGAAAAGATAGAACCACTTGCAATCACGTTAAACTCTACTTTTCAGGTGGATTCTTCCCATCCAAAGACGGGTGCATTTGTTTTACAGCATTCCCCATATATTTCTGATTAATCATCAGATCTGTAAAGATTTCAAGGAAATACAAAGTCATGGACAGCTAAAACCAGCATGACTCAAGAAACCCTACATGTATCACTGAGTGTTAATTGTGGTACAAAAACTGAGTTTGTTACAGCAACTATACTTTCCTTTCCTTTTTCCCCTATTTTTTGTTCATCCAGGCCGATTGATCAACAGGATAACTATCCTCGTCACTTAACCCTCCCATTTCAGGTTGAGTATAATCGGATCCAATGTCACTTGAGATAACCAAATGACTGTACCATCTAAGCTAGCGAGCACCCACCCTCGAACACCACAACATAATTGTATCCATTCATCAAACCCACTCGCTACCAAGACTATCATCCATGAAAATAATTGATCCAACAATGCATACAATGGATTACACACTAAAAAAGTTACATTTTTCACATACGATAAAAAAAAGGATTTATTCTGGAGGAAAATGACATCAATCACATGCCATGATCCATTAAATCATCATTAATAGGCCAAAAGTCATATCAAGTAAAAGAAACCATATATTAGAAAAAGAAAGTAAACAAACAACAGTAGAACCACTTCCGTTACTGTTTAAACTCTGCGAACATAGATTTCCAAGCATAAACCAGAAAACTGCCAGTTTACTTCATAACTCACAAATCAAAAACCAAAGAACAGAAAAAAGTTCGTTGCTTTCTCTAAAACTGAATTAATCACTGATAACTTGTGTTAGATCTAACCCAAAACAGTTAACATTAAAACAACAAAAACCCAAGATTTTATGACAGACAGTGCAAGTAACTAACAAAAATCCTTACTTGCAATGAGTGGCAATAGCAGCAAGCCCATCAGTACTAAACCCATCACAGCTCAACAGAGAAAGAACCTTAAAATTAGGAAAATTAACAGCCAAAAACTCCAAACTTTCATCACTAACAGCCATTCTCTTAAGCCTCAGCTCTTCCAAAAACGGATACTTAGTTGCAAAAACTACAAGCCAAGGATGAACATCAGCTCCCCAATTTTCAGGCACTAGATTAAAATCAGAAAATCTTGGCTTCCCTTTAAGAGTAACACTCTTAATTATTGGAAATCTACGTGCAACAATTTCAGGAGAGACTGAATAACAGTTTCCTATAAAAACATGAGTTCTTGACCAGCTTTCAGCGTTGTACCAGTCCTTGCATACTAGAGACACTGCGCTACGATCTTTGTGTGATTTCAAGAGTGAAAGAACTCGTTCCAGTACTTCATCTGGGAATGGTGATGACCTTGTTGAGTCAAGAAATTCCCTTTTCATCTTTGGATTTGGACCCATCAAAGTAAAAACTCAGAACTCAGTCTCGGTTTTTAGGATGGTGAAAGATTCTTCATGAAAACAAATTATATTCATCAAATCCCATTTTGAAATTTGAAAGATGGAGATGAAAACAAAGAAAAGGAGGGCGTTTTACTATTGAAAATTTTCCTGCATGCCCGTTTGGAAAATTTTGGAAGATGGAGATGATAATCACTTTTTTTCTGCAAAATCTGAAGGGAGAATGCAGTGAGGATGAGGCTCTGATTGGAGAGGGGATTAAAGAGGGAAATAATTGGAGATTTGGAATCACTCTCTGGTTGGTTTCTTCTGACCCTATTTTGTACCGTGGTATCGCTTCCTGCTTACTTTCTAAAGTGTTTTTTTTTTTAATAAATTAAAATAATATTTTTTATTTTTAATATGAAAACATCCAAATAATTAAAAAATAATTTTTTTCAAAAATGATTTTAAAAACCGAAAACAAATGATATCTTCATCTTCATGTAGATTGAATGGCCAAACAAGGAAGAAGACAGGGAGGTGTGGTGTCATGTAATAGGAAAGGCGTACAAGTACAGAGATGATAGAAAGAATGTACAGTTGGAGAGATATAATATTATTATAATTATTAATTACTTAATACTACTAATTATCATCTATATTCATTCTAGATTTTTGGATTAATTTTCACTTTAATAAAAATTCTGTTTAAATAAAGTTCTTGTGACTTTTTCTTTATTTTGAATTTTTTATAATTTTTGATTTCATAAATTGATAAAACATGTTTTTTAAATTTATGAAAGTTACGGTTTTGCGTGGGATTGAGGGTTTTTTAAAAAAAATAAATTAATAATTTTTATAATTTTTGTGTATTAATATTAAAAATATAAAAAATATTTTAGTATATTTTTAAACAAAACATATCTTAAAAAACATTAAAACATTATTTTGTTATTTTCAATCATATTAACAATTTTAAATTTTAAATTTGATAAAAAGATAACAATTATCTTAAGTAGACCCGGTTTCTAATCCAATTTTATCATAACATAATTATTATTAATTAAAAATATATTTATCATGTAATTTTTAAACTCATGCTTTGAAATTTAAATTTGAATTTCAAATAATAATATAAAAAATAAATTCACATGAAGCATACAAAGCTTCTAATCTGATTGGAATATTCAGGAGAAAAAATAGAGACAACATTGACAAACAATGCATGTTTTTTCTATATTTTTTATATGATTGGAATATTCACTATGACTATGTTTCTGGTACGATTGAAGGTATAGAAATTCAAATGTTTCTATCTTTTTTTTATTAAATATATTTCTTTTTTTTCTTGATGTTATTTTTTAATAATAAAACTAGCACTTGGGGAAAAAAATTAATCAATGAAAGGGTAAAAAAAGTATCAAAAGCTAGTGATTATTATCTATTATTGATGTGTTTATTTTAATTGTTTTAATACAATAATATCAATGATAAATTGTACACATTAAAAATATATTTTAAAAAAATAACATCAGGAACCCAACCCATAAAGCTGAAGCTGACACGGACATGGCTAGAATTAAGGGAGAAGAAGAAGATAACCCACAGCAACTCCTAGCCTGTTCCATATCCACTCGGATCTTGACACGTACGCAAAAAAACCGAGGAGCGTATTGCGCAAACGATGTTGGTTAGAGTGGGCTACGGAAATGTTGCTGAACACGGTGTAAATTATATTACATAAATATTTAATTTTTTAATATATTTTCAATTATTTTTATATATTGATTTTAGAAATAATTTTTAAAAAATAAAAAAATATTTTAATATAAAAAAAATATAAAAAGATATTTTCAAAAAATAATTATAACTCCACTCCACCTATGACGCGCACTCGTAAGGGCTATAGGCCTGTTTGGGTAAGGAAGGGGTAGTTATAAGGGTAGAGGCTTTAAAAAATTAAAGCTGACTACAAATGGTAAAATTCGTTTTTGCCTTTTTTAATCTTACAAATACTTTTTACTGCTCATGAATGTAATCATTCGGAGAATTACCGTTCTGATGATAAGGTTCATTCATTCTCGATTTTGCCCTTCATTCATTCTCGATTTTTGGGATTTTATAATTTTAGTACAGTTTAACAAAAATTTCGAGAAAATAAAACATATGAAAAAAGTATTTAAATATATCATATTTTAAATACAATTATTAGTTAAAAAAATTATTATTAAAAACAGCAATTATAGACCACTACAATTAAGAATAACAGTTGTTTCAACATTTATTTTTAAACAAAATTAATTAATAATTATAAAAATTAATTTAAATTTTCATGAAAATTGAGTGGTCATAAATAAAATTTAAGATATGGCTGTTGATAAAGAATATATCACCAAAAACATATTGTACCTCTGTTTTCAAAACTTGCCGTATTATTAAAAAAATCTCAATAAAACAATTTTAACAATATTTTAAAAAAATATAAAACATACTATTCAAAGTTAATTTAAAGTTGATCATAATCTTGTTTAATGATCTTTTAATATATATATATATACATTATTAAAATATTTTTAATGATATTAAATATGAAAAAACAAATCTTTGGTATGCCATTGGATATCTTTTTTTTTTTGTCTTTTCTCATTTATTTTTTTATCATGTCATCTTATTTTTTTTCTCGTTCAATCTTGAACCTTGTCTTTTTAACTATTAAATATTCATAAAATTTTAATTTGATTGTTAATAAGATTAGTTATTATTTTTTAAAAAAATAAAAAATATTATCATAGAACTATCATCCTCAATAGTGACCATACACAAAATTGATATTAGAAAATATGGTTGTCCTTGACCATTATTCTAGAATGCAGTTGCAATTTTGTATATAATCGGTATTTAAACTATTTTATTTTTTAAATATTTTTCAAACCTATATAGTTCTCTCAAACAATTTATCAAACTATGTCATTTTTCTAAAAAAAAATAAATCCCTAGTTGTTTTGGTTGTTACTGTGAAGCCATTTCAAAATTATTTTTTATTTTATTTTTAAAATATTATAAATTTTAAAATTTAGAATAAAAATATATCTTTTCATTGAGAATTCTCTCTTTTTATTTGTACATTTCTTTTTTTATTTGACGAGACCGTGTTTATTTTTTTATTAACACCGTGGTTTCTAAAACAAAAACTTGAGGCAATCCAAATAAGAATTAAACTAGATTAAAGTTAGAAGAAAAGATATGCTTATCTAGTCAAAACTCCAATTTTGTTCATTTATTTTAAATTTTTAATGAAAAAAATATATTTTTTATAATAAACATGGTTTTTCATGTAAAAAATTAAAACCAATTTTTCAAAAAAAATAATGTATCGGTTATTTTTATACAACTATATGAAAAATAAAAGAATAATTAATTTTTTAAAAATAAAAATATTAACAATAAAAAATGTTTTTTATTCCTGCCTAATATTCATATCTAGTTAAAAAAATATTGTGAGTTTTAGTTTTATATAAAACTATTCGATAAATCAAAAATATAACCATGAACACCCTCTAATCTTGCTTCGAAAAAATATGGCATGATTAAATGATTGTTTTTTAAACATCACTATAATTATTTATTTAAAAAGGTTTTGTTTTAAGACATGTATAAAAAGGGGTGGAAGAGGAAGTTCAGGAGGGGTTAGATGCTCAAGAGTTTAAGTTGTCAGGCTTCCATGTTTGGCTTTAAAAAATACTCTCGCGCACTTGGTCTCCCTTAGAAAAACTCAAGCGGGTGACTTTTGTTTTTTTTTTTAAAAAAAAAAATGTTATTTACCAAGGAGATGACATGTTATTCGTGACAATTGAAAATCATTACAATTGAAAAAAAAAAATTTCAAAGTATTTCAATCAAAAACTCTTTTAATTTTAAACTTATTTTCACAATATAAAAATAAAAAACCTAGGAACCTTGGTGGCCCTATTTCCAAACCCAAAACATCGTTTAATTAATCTAAAAACTAAATATTACATTAAATCAAAATGAAATCTTAGGAATTTGATTTGCTTTCATCATGGTTAAACATCTAAATCACTTTCATTGAGTATTTGTTTTCAATAAATATAAACTTGTTGGCACTAAAATTGAATTTTTTTTTATCATTAAAATATGATCAATCAAAAACTTTCTTTTTAAAAAAAAAAATTAAAAATTTTCTATCTCGTCTCCTAACAATCAAATACTTTAACATAATAATAAAAAAAAGTTTATAGTATAAATATTTAAAAATTCATGAATCAATTGTGTAAAAAAAAAAAGTTATGAAATTGTAATTCACGATGAAATTGTGAGCGGGTCTGCATCAAGTAAGAAAGTAAAATTCCTTTTTTTTTTAGCTTGATATGGTGTGGCTACATTTTAGCAAAAAATTATGAATGTGCCTACAATAATTAAAATAATTCACAATGAAATTGTGAATGAATCTACAACAGTGTGGATGAATCTACAACAATTGGGATTGTAAAATTTCTTATTGTTTTAGTTTGTCTTGTAAATGCAATAGGTATCAATGCCTATTAAATCATTAAAGTTGAAACATAGTCATTACTTTATCCAAATCCACTTAGTTTAGTTAGTGCTAATATTTTTTTATTTGATTTTTTTAACAAAGAACGGTTATTTTGAAGGGAAATATTTAGTGAATTTTCCTTTTCACTCTCTCATTTTGTTTTTCTAGTTGACAATAATTAAGTTCTATCTAAAACAATACTATCAGTAAATCATTTAAAATGTCAACTATAATATTGGTAACTACATTAAAAAAAATCAAGTCTCTTGGCAAAGTTAATATTTTATTTTTGTTGCCTAAATATACAACTCTGGCATTATAAAAGAAACAAAAGGCTCCAATACCAAGTTTATCAAAACATTTATTGATTTTATTGTTTAAAAATAATTAGGGTATAGGATCAATTCAAATATTAAAACAAATATGAAAGCTTATCATGACTTGACATTGTTTGTGTAGCCAATGCATTCAACATATGTGCTAAAGAGTAAAGGAGATTGCTAGCATGTGTGACCTTCTTTGATGGTTATAAACAGGACATTTCTTTCTTTTTCATATGAGATGAAGCATGTAGGGTTGTTTGTAACAACTTATTATTAGTAACATTTTATCTCTTTGTTTCCTCTCTCGTCTACTCAGACCTCACATTGCCCCATCAAAAAATTTGAATTGTACTCTCATTTTATTATTATTTCATATTTAATTCTTGATGTTTTGATTGAATTTATATTATGGGCCTTTTTGTGAGATCAAAAGGTTTTATCAATTTTACTTTTCAATCAAAAAATTAAAAGATGTGCTCT